ATAGTTTTTTTTTTTTTTTTGGTACCCAGTAAAGTTGTTTCAGAATAATATATAATATCTATGAAATAATTTACAACGTAAGAAAGTTTTTTTTTATATAAAATATGAAGTGCAGAACCGCTTAGTCTTTTTAAAACAGGATTAAAGACTTATCTTTTTAAGACATGCCCAGGACCCTTTCAAAGCAGCTCTGTGAATGGGCGCTGTTTAAACTTATATATAAAATTATTGTTATTATTGTTCTTCTTCTTATTATTATTATTATTAGAAATAAATCTCAATATAGTATTCTGACAATGAATCAGACTTTATATTTTTTGAGCAAATCAAAGGTTTTTGAATGAAAGTTTTTAGAATTGTTGTTGTATAATTGTGTATTATTTATTTATTTATTTTAAAATAAACAAAAGATATTTTTAAAAAATCAACTCGAAATTTTTTTAATTCCAGCGAGGCTGCGAATTCTTTTGTTGATACGTTTAGTTGGTCTACTTGTTCGTTGGAAATGCTCTACGAGACCTACCATCTGCACCAATGTCTTTTCCATAGGTGGAAAGATTTCAGTTTATTGCCTGCCAGATGTGGGAATGGATTGATTGATGAGGGAGAAGATTGTGATTGCAGTCTATTCCCTGCTACAGTAACAATTTCATGTTTCATCTTTAAAGTTGTTCCACTCAAAACTATTGGCATTTTTGATAAATTTAAAGCAATTTCTTCATTCTAGTAAAACGGTTTAACATGTGAGCAAGGAACACGTTAAAATGCTTTTGTTTGAAACGCTGTTGGCTGTTGGCACATTCTCACAAATTTATTTTCAGAAATATTAAACTAATATTATGCGTTTCAGAATGAGCTTCTTCTAACGAAACGATAAAACAAATAACACGTTTTGTTTTCATGTCACAATGTTAAAAACATTAACCTCTAAAACAGACTTGTTCTTCAGAGTGCTGTGATTCGAGAACTTGCAAGTTCAGACCTGGCAGTGAATGTGCTACAGGGTTGTGCTGTGATTTCAATACGTGTAAAGTGAGAAACTGATTTCATTAACATTTCACTTTGATATTTAATTGGAGAAATAATTTGAAGTTAAAAATATGAAATTATTCTTGCTCATAACCACAATTTTTCGCTATAACCATAATAATTTTTATTTCTCCCTTATAAAGAGCAACAAATTGTTTCTGATGAATTTATCTTTTGTTTAAAATTTTAAAAATTCAAAAAGATCATATCAGCTGGAGTGGTCTGTAGGCTCAAGCAGGACGAATGTGATTTACAAGATACATGTGATGGTAGATCGAACCTCTGCAAGGATCTTTATATTCAAGATGGCTCTATGTGCACGGTGAGTAATTCACTATTTAAATGGAATCGCGTAAGAATGTAGTATGGAAGCACTATTATTTGCACGAGTAAACATCCAAAGTATAAATTTTCAAGATTGAAATATGGATTTGTTTTAAAATATATGCTACTAGCATCAGATACATATGCATAATACCAATGGCGGATCTAGACAGCGTTGAAGGAATGGTACAACATTTTGAAAAGGTTGAAATGTTGAAATTTCTGGAAATTTGCCGGTGGAAGCCAAAAGTAACGAAATTTTTGCTAGTGTCTAGTCTCCCGGCCATTCCTAGACCGCCAATGCATCTCTCTCTCTCTCTCTCTCTCTCTCTCTCACACACACACACACACTATCACACACACAATCACAGACATGTACTTGCATATATGCAGTATAAAATTTTTCCACATATTGGTAAGATATCTGACTAAATACACATTGGAGACCGTTCTCAAAAGAGCGGTTTCTGTTGAGAGAAACTCTTATTAAAATTAATTGTTGAATCATGAAATTGTTTATTAATAACAAATTTAATTCAATCGTATAAAGAATTTGTGAAGAATTGTTTCAAAATCAACGAATTTCAATTTGAATTTCTCTCAGATTTTTGATTTAGTATATTTTGAGCTTGGTCTCAGCAAAATTTTAGCAAACCCGTAGTAATGGTGAAGAATATTTTCAGTAGCTTGGAAACTGTAGATAAACGACAGGACCAATCGCTGTACCATTAGACCGTCTCCCAATATTTCCTATTCTAAATTTGATTAGGTCGAGTATAAAAACTAAATCTTTTTAACTTTCTTTTTTTATTGTTATTTATTTTCTAAAATAAACTTTAAATCTCCCTAGGGTCGAAATTACTGTTTTGGCGGAAAGTGTCATTCATTAGATAATCAGTGTTCGCTGTTGTGGGGAGACAATAAAACCGTTGTAGCCGATGCAGCTTGTTACGAACGCAGCGTTCACAGAAGCGACAGGTGCTTCAATTGTGATTACGATATTTTATCATCTAGTGTCGTCCCTTGCAATGTAAAGTTGGTACTTTTTATTATTGTTTAAATTTTTATACAAATATCAGCTAAAGCAAAATTACATCTTGGTTATCTAAACTATTAAAATCTCCCATAGTTATAACTATTAAAATTTTCCTTAGTTCCTTAATCTTCTTTAGTAATAATTATTAAAATATTCCTTAGTTATAACTATTAAAATCTTTCTTAGTTATAACTATTAAAATCTTTCTTAGTTATAACTAGCAAAATCTTTCTTAGTTATAACTATCATAGTCTATAACTATTAAAATCTTTCTTAGTTATAACTATTAAAATCTTTCTCAGTTAAAACTATTAAAATCTTCTTTAGTAAAAACTATTAAAATTAGTTATAACTATTAAAATCTTCCTTGGTTATAACTATTAAAATCTTTCTTAGTTATAACTATTAAAATCTTTCTCAGTTAAAACTATTAAAATCTTCTTTAGTAAAAACTATTAAAATTAGTTATAACTATTAAAATCTTCCTTGGTTATAACTATTAAAATCTTTCTTAGTTATAACTATTAAAATCTTTCTCAGTTAAAACTATTAAAATCTTCTTTAGTAAAAACTATTAAAATTAGTTATAACTATTAAAATCTTCCTTGGTTATAACTATTAAAATCTTTCTTAGTTATAACTATTAAAATCTTTCTCAGTTAAAACTATTAAAATCTTCTTTAGTAAAAACTATTAAAATTAGTTATAACTATTAAAATCTTCCTTGGTTATAACTATTAAAATCTTTCTTAGTTATAACTATTAAAATCTTTCTTAGTTAAAACTATTAAAATCTTCTTTAGTAAAAACTATTAAAATTAGTTATAACTATTAAAATCTTCCTTAGTTATCTGAAATCAAATAATTTTTTCTCGTGTTCTCAGTGTTAGCGTTATATTGCTCCCTTTCAACGCCATGAGTTATGCAAATTTAACTCGAACGTCCCCAACAGTAACACACTATGTGGGAAATTATTATGTGCTCTGAGTGATCCCAGCTTAGTACGCAAGTATGAATACGATAGGACCACCATATCCTGTGTCTGCTCTATTTTTCCACTCATAAAGGGTAGCAATCACTTATCTTATGCCAAGAATGGAATGAAATGCGGCTCCAACAAGGTTTGGTCCTATTTATTTTAGTTGATGTCGTCTTCTGATGATATTTATTTGCCTGTTTGATAAGTTTGATACATGGATATCAATCTCTGGTTTGTTTGATATGTGTGATACAAATATATCGATCTCTGGTTTGTTTGATACGTGTGATACAAATATATCGATTTATGACTTGTTTGATTCGAGTAGTTCAAATGTATCAATCCATGTGCAGTATAGATTGGCATTAGAGAAAGGAAGGTTAGCTGGTGAATGCCGTACAAATATTAATTAGATCGTTAAAAATGAAATAAAATTCTTCAAATTCATCACAACAACACCTGCAATTGTATCCAAACTTATTTTTCTTTAGTTTAGTTAATTTTGATACATTTAGTTTAGATACATTTAGATACGGATACATAGTTTAGATTCGTAACATTTTCTGTTATCACATTAACTAGAAAATTCTTTCTACAAATATGACGAGATTCTTTCAAAATGAATAATCCATTCGTACATAAAAATTTGAAAAACGCTTGCAAAACACTTTAAAATCCAGTTAAAAAAATAGCTTTCTTGCTGGTCTTGTGGATAAATATATATAGAAGAAATATTCACACAACAAATTCATCATTAATTCTATAAATTAATAATAATTGAATAATATTTTAACGAATATTTAACGATTGACCGTAATTTTTTAAGGTTTGTTTCGACAGAAGATGCATTGAAAAGGATTCATATATTAGAATACTTAGGCATTATGCCGTCATTTCTCAAGGGTCAATAATGCCCATCTCGTTGGCCAGTTTTTTGGCCCACCTGCTTCTGAATTTGTCCGCTGGGTAGGGCTGCTGGCAGGAGCAAAACTCGAAGAATATTCACTCGATACATTTTATTTCTATTGCAATTATGAAACCTTTTTGAAAAAGAAACTTAGAATACTTTGTTCATGTTATAACAAAACGTCACTTAATTTCGTTAAAAATTTCTTATTGAAAAAAAAATTGAAAAGGTAAAGCTTTTATTCAAAAAATTTATTTTTACCTACCGCTAGCCATTTTTTATGTATTTTTATATAAGTTAATTTTATTTGCAGACAATCAAAAATTTAGAAATCGCATCTATTACACTTTAAACCATTTTAAAGAAAGCAATAAATTGTTTAACAACACACCTGCCATCTACTATTTGATGATATCAATGAAATAATTTTATGAAAAAAAAATCTCTAGATGCTGGGTGATGGTTTTGAGTAAGTTTTAAGTGTCTAAAATGATAAAGAAGCAGGCGAAGTTTTTAAGAATAAAATAATGGTGTTTATTAGCAATTATTATGGAATAAAATTTCAAAAGTGAAATGTTTGTAAATAAAAAGTTTCAGTCTGCTTGCATCCTCTTTGCTATTCTGTTCGTTTTTTGATCAATTCTGTAACTGCAGTAAATTAAAAAAAAAACCACAAAATTTTTAAAAACTTTTTAATCGTAGAGTTTAACATTTCGTAAGTTAGTTTAGACAGTTAGATGTCTTGTCTGCTGTAACACGTGGTGGCCTCGTTCGAATGCTATAGAAACCAAACGCTATCAGGAAGTTAGTGTTTGTGCAAAGCAGAATTTGGATGTTTGGATTTTTGGGGTTAATTGCAAAAAATTTATAAGAAAAACTCTATCTAAACAGCCGGATAAGCTGCTCCTTGTCTGACATATTTGTAATTTTATAATGAATGATTGCACATCCGTTAACTGACGACTACTGAACTATTTGCAATTGGGTTAAAGTTATCAAACGAGTTTGGGTTTGTGTTAAATTTTGTGATAACCTGACTTGAATGGGTGTGGGATCGGTATCGAATGGGTATAATAACCTACCTACCAAGTACTAAAACTACTATGAAACTAAGTGAATCACAAATAACAAATCAACAAACCTGGAAATAATAATTTGGATTATTAGTGACACTATCACTGTTTGAGTTCGGGGTTGCGAGCAGCCGGCAGTTGCCAGACGAGCCTATGAAAGCTTTGCTACAACCTGAAGTTAGCCGACAGAGGTACACGCATTTGACAACTTTTGGAATGCATTCAGCCAAAGGCTTAAAAACTGTAGCGTTCAGTTTTTTCTCTGCATTGGCTATGATTGCAGAGTCGAATTGATTTTCATAAATTACTTCAACTTGCCTACAATTACTGAATTGTTCTTTTATAAAATTTCTATACATGTAGGTAGAGATTGTAGTTGTTGCTGGAGCCATCGTCATACTAACTATCACCACTGTTGTTGCTACTGTAAAGAACAAAATTGCGTTCAACATGTCGCCACAGATTATGCAGTTAGTGTAATTAAAACTGACTAAACATTATACTTAGATGTCTCTTTTCAATCTAACATAACCCAAAAATTTTAAACTGCAATAGTTTAACTTTATTTTTTAAAATAATGAAAACATCAAATAGGGTTCATTAAATTAACTGAGGAATATGTACATTCTTCAAAATCTAAACAAACATTTTAAATGTAAAAAGAGAAGATAATTAAAATGACTGACTCTTCAAACTATTATGGAATACATATTTCTTATAAGAGGAGAAATTTGTCTCTAAGCAATGGCTAAAAACAATAAGGAAAAAATCTTCTAAATCAAGTCGACATTAATGACAACATTGTATTGTGTCTTTCTAGACTTCGAGGTAGCGTTCTATCATAGTTATCTATTTTATTGTTTTTAACAGAAAAATACATTGCTATCTTTCTAAACAAAATTGGCTTTGGTCTTCTAATGAATGAATGGATGAATAGTATTTAAAAATAATAACACACAATTGTGTGCTTCATAATGTAATTGCGCGGAAACACGCTAGAACCATCTAACAAAAGTAGCAATGGTTGGATTTTGAAGAAAACATACAATAGCTATTATTATTATTATATTATTATTATTATTATTACTTTTATTATTATTATTATTATTAGTAGTAGTAGTAGTAGTAGTCGTCGTCGTAGTAGTCGTAGTAGTAGTACTAGTAGTAATAGTTAGTAGTAGTAGTAGTAGAAGTAGCAGTAGTAGTAGGGGTAGTAGTAGTAGTAATAGCAGTAGAACGAAACAGATAGAAATATAACCAATGTTTGTACAATTGCTCTAAATCACGAACACTTTATTTTATAAATATCAAATAATAGAAATACTTCTACTACTACTACTATTACTGTGGCTATTGCGGCTGCTGCTTCTAATACTACTGCGGCTATTGCTGCTGCTTCTACTACTACTATTGCTATCTAGACAGCTTTGACTTGGGGGGTCAAGATTAGTGGTAGTCTGGTTTTTTTGGTCGATTTTACACATAAAACGGTTTTTTCTGACTTAATTATTTTATTTTTATTTTATTCGCCCTCTTAGATTCGTCACTGATTACTAATACTACTAATACTACTACTACATTTACTTCACTACTACTACTACTGCTGCTGCTACTACAGCTACTGCTACTACCACATACGAGAACAATAATTTTAGTGTCACTGTGTGCAACTGATTAGAAATAGAAATGCAAGTAACCTTATTTGAAAATTGCGTTTTGAAATTCTTCGCAAAGGAATTCTAATAAGTTAGACATATATTATTTAAATATTATTTAAATCAAAAATATTATTTAAATCAGAATTATCTATTGTTAGTTTATTGAATTTTTACATTTTAAATGTTGAAAAATTCCAAAAAAAACTTTGCATTGGGTAGTAGGTGTTACACAGAAACTAACTCACCTAATTTCACGCTATTAAAACCAAAATAAGCAAATAAGTTATATCTTCAAATCTTTCTCAGCTATCTTGCATCTTGAAACAACTACACCTAATTGTATAAGTTAGAAATTAAACTTTTGACTTTTAAATCGAAACTGGCATGAGACTATAAATATCAATCAATTCAATCAATCAATTAGCTTGTAAAGCGCTATTTCCGCGATGTTCAACAGCGCTCCTCAATGAATTTTGAAAACAGATGGGTCTTGAGATCCGCTCCGAACTTCGCAGAAGTAGTCAGAGAAGTTGGTAGAGAGTTCCAGAGAAAAGGGCTAAAAAAAACCAAAAGCAGATTTGGCGAAAGAGTGCTTAACACGAGTTAAGAAGAAGCGAGAACAAGAAGACGATCGTAAACCGGATATGGAGATATATGAGAAAAGAAAGAGGCACGAGCAACCAGACGAGCAGCAGAGTTAAAAGCTTTACTTAAAGAATGGATTAAATAGACTTAACAGCAGCCATGTTTTTGGATTCAAATGAATCAAGCCATCACACGCTAGAAAAGAACAACCACTTTTTAATGGAAAACTCCAACTTCAGCGAAACAATTTGGACATTTGTGGTTCCAATGTGTTGTAAATGTTAGACGAAGAATGTAAGAGAATTTTCAAATGTTTGTTGAAAGTAAATACATCAAAAAAATTGGTCAGACAGAAAAAAAGAAACATTTCTACCTTAAACAAATACAAAAAGTTCCGCTTAACAACGGAATATGTGATGTATGTTTGTATGTTTGTTTGTGTGTGTGTGTGCGTCCGTGTGTGTGTGTGTGTGTGTGTGTGTGGTTGTTTGTGTGTCCGTGCGTGTGTGTGTGTGTGTGGTTGTTTGTGTGTGCCTGCATGTAACTTCATATTATCATACATGTATAAGTGGGGTCAAGTGTGTTTGTTGTATGTTCTGCTACTTCATAAATGTAAGATTTGTGGAAATAAAAAAATATATTTTTCCAAAAGATTCCTCTGTACATAACAACGAAGGAGCATTGCTTTTAGATTGAACGTTATGATAATGTATGTTGAGGTGATTCGAAAGATAATGTAATCTGAGATTTCATTAAGTGATTGATCTTTGTAGAGGAAGCATAAAAAATTGATAGTTCTCATTAATAAATAAAGAATAAAATGTTGATGAGTATAATTTTTATAGCGCTGTTTTTTCTAATAAATTCAGGGCCATCACCATCATTACCCTTAAAATTCATAACTCGAAGTAGAACCTACCTGAGGATGATTTGGAGCAATGAAGCACCATTATGCGCGAACTCAAGTGAGGAAAGTTTGATGTTCCGCAGATCCGACCTCCAACTCGACCGAGCGAGAGATGGAGCACAAGTTAAAAGGTGCGCTGTGCTGTGCGAGACATCCAGCCAATCCTGTTTCGCTTTCCAACTTATCATAAGAAGTACCATAAATAATAATAACAACAACAACAACAACAACAACGATAATAATAACATTAATAATAATAACTATAATACCTGCGATGTGTTGTGTTACAACTTTAATGTTGATCTACCTGGTAACATTTATAAAGAGTCTCCCGAAAACTGCTACCTCTACACAGCAGCGAGTTAGTGGCTTGATTTACAAATTAAAGAAAAGTTTTGTATTTTAGTTTCATTTCATGGAGATATTTAATAAATGAATAAATAAACGAATGAACGAATGAGTAACTAAACGAACGAATGAACGAACGAATGAATAAATAAATAAATGAATGAATGAACGAACGAACTAATAAACGAACGAATGAATAAATAAATGAATGAATAAACAAACGAACGATTACGTAAATAATCAACTTTTAATTAATTCCCATCCCAATAATTTAAATAGCTCAGCTACAATTTGACAAACAATGTTTTAAACCTTCACAAATACAACTGTGTAACAAAGCGACAGCACATGTCAATAATAATAAAAATCAATTACTTTAAAATTAAATAAAATTTTAAAAACAAATTAAAAAAATTAAAATGTCACTATGAGGACCTTTTTATTTTTAAAGCCAGGGTAATAAATGATTAAAACAACAAAATGGTAAAATGATGAAATGTTAATAAATGAAATGTCAAAAAAAACCACTTAACTCCTTTAAAAAGATAAAGTACAGAGCCGTGAAGTATATTTCAAATTTGTATCATAAATTGTTCCTGTCACAATAAATGCCGTATGATAACCTTCTAATGGCCTCTATCAACTCATCATTAAAAGAAACCAGCCACATAATTTTAAACAATAAAATATTAAAGTTGTTATAAAAAGCAATTGGCGATATTCCGAAAGTATTTATAATTATTGAGCAGTGTTTGCAACTGTCGTTTAAATAGCTAGGCAAATTAGAGAAATATTTATTTATCTTGTATTATCTGGATGATCCCAGCTTGCTTCCATGACACACCGTTAACTTCAGAATCTCGACTGTGATTCGACATGTCGGGTCATAAGGTGTTGAACAAATGCGATTATTATTATTATTATTACTATTATTACTATTTTTATTATTCTTATTATTTTGTCACAAGAGCCAAGTTACGTCAAAATTTCGTCTTGGGGGGCAGATGACTCGGCAAAGTATTCCATGGGGTCAAGCCCCTACAACACGATTCAGACGAGCCATCAGTGCTCGCTTGGAGTCAACAGAGGAGTGAATTTGTACAGAGTAAACTTGGAAAAACAAATCTTATATGATTTTCGAAATTTCGATTCGTACACAGACCCGGAAGCTGGATGGAGGATGATGAATTACTTAGAAGTGACCATTTGGTTTTATAACTTTATGTTTTGGTGTTTTTCGGTTTGTTCGTGTGTTAATTTATGCGTTTGTTTTGTTTGTGTGCTTGTTTATGTCTGCGTGTCTGTTAATTTATGATTATTTACTTAAACGTTTGTAGTTTTGTGAAATTTTTTTAGGGTTGATTACATAATTGTCAGTATTATTGGTTGTATTTGAGGACGAGCCATATGTGAAGACACGGGGGAACTATTTTTTCCAATCAATCAATACACAAACAAACACACACACGAACACACACACACACGCACACACATAAACACAAATTACACACACAGACATACACACACGAACACACACACATACACACGAACACACACACATACACACACATTACACACACACACACACATACACACGCACACACACATACACACGCACACACACAAACACACATTGCACACACACACACACATCACACACAGACATACACACACACACACACATAGGACACGCAAGATGGCGTAATTGTGGTTGGCCAGACGTGTGACGAACCGCGAAATAAAATGGATATAAGCATGGAATATCTGAAAACGCAGAACTTGGACATCACTAATTTGCAGTACCGCGGGAAGTGGCTGTTTATTCGGCAGCAGGGAGCCACTGAAAAGACCTTGTCGTTTGTCGATAACTCTCAAAATGTTTTGACCAGAGAATTTGTCGTTTACAGTACAGGTGAATGTAGATCTTAAGTCTTTATATATGTATGTAATGTGTGTCATGTTTCTCATCCTCTAATTCTTTCTTTTTGCCTTTCTCTCTCTTTCTTTCTCTCTCTTTCTTTCTCTCTCTCTCTCTCTCTCTTTCTTCCCTTCTCTCGCTTTTTCAGATATATTTAATTAAGTTATTTATAAACATCTGCAAAGAATGCATCATTGTACATATATAAATACCTATAAGGTCTTTACGTACACAATTTACATTAAATTCTATCGCTAAAGTATGATTTACTAATTTTAATTTCTTCATTTTTTTAATAAAACATTGCCATTTATTATTTAGTTTATTAATTAAACTAACAAAAAGTATACATTTTAATAATATATCAAATCAAATCAAAAATACTTTTTATTTACCAGAACATATGTATATATACATGTACAATTGTACATATATATTGTATTAAGTCTGTCAGTTTATTGAACTAAGGCCTAACATGCTGTGATTTTCATCAATAAAATTCACATCTCATTACCATTGTTACTATTATAGTTATTATTATTATTAATATTAATATTATTATTAATATTATTATTATTGCATTCATCCATTACATACATATGACCTAATTATTTTTTCCCGCCAACGAAGGTGATGGCAAGCCAAACTGGAGAGGAATGAAGATGAAGACCGTTCAGTGAATGTTTTTGCGAATTTTTTTTTAAACAAGTTTATTTCGTGAAGCGTAAAAACGAAACTTGAAAAGGGGCATTCCAAAAATGAAAATAAAATTCTAAATAATATTGAACCTAATAAATTTACTCAAATAATTTGTTTAATTTATTCAAATAAATGTGACCTGTTTTTAATCTATGTATATCAGTTTTATTAGAAATACAGGTTTTTTTTATATTTTAGGTGTTAATCTTTTTTAGAATTAATCATTTGATCTACTAATTATCTTTTTTTCGTTAAAATATTGAAAATTGCATTCTATTTTCATTCATACTTCTTGGAAGTTTAAAAATGTAAAACTGTAAAATTTTTCACTGTTAAAACATTTGATTATTTTTAAAAACCTACAAAATACTAATCACTTCGCAAATGATGGTCATACATTAAATTCCTTGCAACTTTCCAGTGAGAACTGAGTTAGCTTTTTGAAAAGTTAAAAATATCACGGTTACGGGCTGAATGAATGAATGAATGAATGAATGAACGAACGAACGAACGAACGAATGAATGAATGATTGAATGAATGGTTGATTGATTGATTTATTTGTTGATGGACTGGTTAATTGATAGTACAGTATCAAACAGTATCTTATTGAACAAAGTAGTATCATAAAATGAATAAAGATACTTTTTTCAAAACTTTTAAAAATTCTCATTTTGATTCCATTGCGACCTCGACGATGATGATTGTGACTGGTTAATTAGAAAACTTCAAATAAAACTTAAAATAGGATGGGCAAATGAAGTCATGTTAACCGTAGTAATTTAACTGCCTGTAAGTGAATTAGCCGGTATAAAGGTTGTGTTCAATTCCTATCAAATAAACTTGACCAAATATCATACGCAGGCAAAACTAAATAAAAAAATAGATAGATAGATATATGTAGTTATAATACATTTATAAAGTTATATTCACACACTCAAATTGTACAATTGTGTTATGGTGTAGTCTCAAATTATTTTGAATTCTCTCAGAAAATATTAAACGTTTTACTATATACTAGTATACTAATTATTATATTCTAGATACTTTTATCAACAATTTTTAAAATATTTTCAATTAGATTTCATCGCGACATCGATGATGATGATTGTGACCTGAGTGCTAAAAAAGCATCAAAGAAAATTTTTAAATAGGATGGAGAATTTGTTACGGAATCGTTGGAGGAAATGACGTCATGCTAGCGGTATTCTATACTTAGTAAAATGTATCCCTTCAACTTCCACACCAAAAGAACAAGTTTTTCAAAATCTGGAAAACTGATAAGCATAAAAAGAAATAGATTGCGAGATAGTTCATTTGAAGGGTGTGCGTGTTTAAATGATTGGATGGAATTACTTGGCAAATAAAACTTGTGTATATATTCTATTCTAATTTAATTTAGAATAAAATATTCTTTAAACTCGCTCGTGTTAGTTCTTTGATATTGATATTGGGGATATTCGTATATAATGCAAGCAAAATTTTAATATAAAAGTGCTTATAAACCTACACATTTGGCTCAGTTTGGCTTGGCTCGGCTTGAAATTGGATGTTAAGCAAGGTGTGGTCTCAAACTATTTTGAATTCTCCCCAGAAACTTTGAACTGCGTGCGAACATATGTAGCACTGATTACTGTTGCTTTTATTTAAATTTATATAACTAGAATCCATGTATACAAATAATAATAAGATTATGTATATGTTTTTATAAAAAGCTGTTTTTATAAAAATATGTTTTTATTTAATTTTTTTATTTATTTATTTATTTTATTATATAGAGTTATATAGAGTTGCGCGGTTATATATGCTTGTCTGTAGTTTGTATGTTTGTATTTTGTATTTTTTTTTAATTTTAGGTGGGTTCTATAGCGGTTGCTCATGCATACATACATACAACATGTTTGTTTGTGTGGTAGTATTTTATGTTCTGTTTTAATCCTTTTTCTCTTTCTTCATGAGTCTTGAGCTAAGTTAATGAAAAATAGGTAGGTGAGATTAAAAATTAATTTATTATATAGGTAGGCTAGGGCATAAGGTAATTTAGTAACATAGGTAGGTTAAGGACTTCTTTTCTTTTACTCTACTTGGTGGTGTATTTTTTGTTTTTTTTTGTTTTGTTTCACACGATACATTCTACAGGTACGCGGTGGTTCCTGGTTTCAGTGGGATTTTTATTGATTGAATGTGGTAGTATGCATGGTTATATAGAGTTATATAAAGTTATATAGAGTTATATAGAGTTATATAGAGTTATATAGAGTTATATAGAGTTATATAGAGTTATATAGAGTTATATAGAGCATAAATCCTATATAGATACCTTTCTTTGAGGTTTTTTTCTTTGCCGACCGGTCGGCTTCTTTGCGTTTCTCTATTTTCATTTAAATTAATTGAATTAATAATATTTTTCCATTCATTTAAGTTAATTCAGGTTCATTCATTTAGGTTGAAGCTTCCAGAGGAGTTCATCAGAACAGTGGAAGATCAGAATGTTTGTGATTTCACGCTAGGTTTGTTCATTTAGTGGCAAAAAATGCACCCTTGGCTGGGGTTCGTTTTACGGTTTCTTAGCGGTTCCTTTTTTGCTAGTTGGCTGGCTTTTCCGGCTGGCGGGTTTAACCACGGCTCATTTCTCTATTTTCATTAAAATTAAATAAATAAGATTTTTAAATTCTATTCATTTCATTCAGGTTGAAGTTTCCAGAGGAGTTCATCATGGAAGATGTCAGGCCACGTTCGTTCATTCAGTGGCAAAAAACACACGTCTGGCTGGGATACGTTTTATTCTTTTTTCTCAGTAATTTAACATTAAGTAAGAATCCATACACGCACACACGTACACATACAATTACATTAAGTAGCTATGTAGGTAAGTTAGATAGGCATAATTTTAATTATAGGTAGGATAGATAGGAAGCATCCAACACTAATGTAGTTGAATAGGTAGGCGCGTAAGTTTATCGCTTCTATTTTTTTTCTTGCACCCACATTACACGCATCAGCGTATTACACAAACACACACAAGTGCATACATAAACACATATGTTAGTATTTGAGCATAATTTTATTTTCATTACACATTCTAATTTATTATTACTAAGGTTGAGAGTAATTTAGTTTCATAGGTAGTTAAGGGTAATAATGTAATTCTAGGAACAATCTTGTAATGCAAATTAAAAAACGCTAAGTGTATCGATAGGTAGGTTAATTGTAAGTTTTACATTATTATTATTAGGTTGGAGCCCAAGGCATTACGTAGGTGGTGGGGTGGGTGCCGAAAGGCCAATGAATTGGGCTCTTGAGTTTTGTAATTTTAGGTAAGCTAGGCCATAATGTAATGAATAGGTAAGTTAAGGCTACGTTGTAACACATACTCATTAATAGATTTAGGGTTTAAGTTTTATATTATTATTACTAAGTTGGAGCCCAAGGCATTACGTAGGTGGTGGGGTGGGTGCCGAAAGGCCAATGAATTGGGCTCTTGAGTTTTGTAATTTTAGGTAAGCTAGGGCTTAATTGTAATGAATAGGTAAGTTGAGGGTACGATAGCCGATAGACTCTGAATTTCGAAGTCTCTTGTCAGAGGTAAGCCTTGGTGGCCAGTGGTGAACCGGCAATAGTTTACTATCCGGACGGCAATGGTTTACTATCTGCACGTAATGATTTACTATGCGGCATGGCCATAGTCTACTACCCGCACGGCTTCCGGACGGCAAATGGTTTACTATCCGCAAGGCAGTAGTCTACTATCCGCACAGCAATGGTTTACTATCCGGTGCCCTGGCTGTCGGTGAACCTCTGTGCAAGGAGGAAGAATGAAGGGGGACTTTCGACTATCGTGCCATTAACAGTTTAATATAGATTAGTTAAGGTAATTGAATAGGTAGATAGAATTATTTTTATTAAGCAATTTGAGATGCAGGCACCGCTAAGCTTTCTGATGAGAATCTTCTCTTTCTCCATTCCACGGGCTGTGTTTCAACAACAATCTCGAGGAGGACTGGCATCAGTTTTGGAGGACAACGTAGGAACCGGAAGGCATTCAACATTCTGCCTTTGTCGAATGAACAGCGGTAGTTTTTTTACATTTTATCCTCTTTATTACTTTAAAATATTATTTATTTGCCATTATTTTCATTTTATAATCTTTTGCTTCTAAGATTTTAACATTCATTTACTACTACGCTAATAAAAAAAATTGTCTACAGAATGATGAGAGGTGGGCAGTGGTGGGCGTCAGCACGTTTCAGATGGTGGTCTCATGATGATTTACGTATGATGATGGTGGTGTAGGAAGAATCAGCTCGTTGGCTGTTCGACTAACACTTTGAAGTTCGGATGACATCTTGTGTGCCGATCAGATGGTGATGGTCGGTGCAATAGAGTACAGTAACGACGATTTTTGAAGTAAGGTTTAGTTCGTTTTCTCATTTTTCTCATTAATTCATTTGTTCATTTTATTACTCAATCTTTCAAATTATTCTTCCATTAAATGATTCGTTTATTCATTCTATTCATTCATTGAATCATTGATTGATTAATTAATTAATTCATTCATTTTTTTAACTAATTCAGTTAATCATTTATTCGTTCGTTCTTTTGTTCCATGATTTACCGACATGCAAATTAAAAAAAATTAGTCTACAGAATGATGAGAGGTGGGCTGTGGTGGGCGTCAGCACGTTTCAGATGGTGGTCTCATGATGATCATTCCGATGACAATTTGAAGATAATATTAAAGGGAAATTTGTTTTTGTCCCATCGTACCTTTGAAAGTACTCGAATTTGAACAAAGGATTAAAGGTTATCTCAATAAGATAAGTTGCCAATAACTTTTTCCAACGGCTTTAATTTTTTTTTTCAGTACCCGGTCAAATTCACGATGCCTGTCAGATGATGGTCGGTGCAATGGAGGTTCGTCCGTAGTGAGTGTGGAAGTTTCTGGAGAGTACACGCGCGCACATTTACACACACACACCAATACAAGACACACATACACAACATTCATTCATTCGGTGTTGTCGTCGTTGTTATGTTTCTCTTCAACTTTCTATTTTCTTTACCGGACTTTAATTTAATTCGTAGGTAAGTTAGGGATTGAGATGAGTTGAACAATCGTAGGTAGGCTAGGGCTTAACACTAGTTAAAAAGTTTCAAGTAAAATAAAAACGCTGAAATATGTAAAATAAAATACCTAAAACAAGTAAAATTCCAAAAACGTAGAAATACTTATTTGTAGAGAGGTGAGTTGAGTTAACGATTATAAGTAAGCTAGGGCCCTGAGAGTAATTTAATTGTAGGTAGGTGACTGACTACTATTCTTGCGACGCGACTTTTTACTAGTTTTTTGTGCTGTGTTTGTTTGTTTTCGCTTCACAGCCCCACACCAACAAAACAAACCACATTTTATTCTCGTCGTCGCCTTAAATTTTACATTTTTGAACAATCTTTTTAATGTCTATTTTTTTATTTTTTTTATTAAATGTTGACTGGTTTCTAGTTTTTTTTAGCTTGGTTATATAATTTTTGGATATTTCTTGATTTAATAAAAGCAACTATTGTGTTTTTCTTTCTTTACTAAAATCTCGAAATTGTTTGTAGATCTGTACAGCTAAGTGTTTGTTCGAGTTTGAACAAGCCTTGCAAATATTTTTCAAATATGGTTCTTTGATTGGTCGATTGGTTGGTTGATTAGTTGAATGAATGAATGGTTGGTTGATTGATTGATTGGTTGATTGATTGATCTCATAGTATTGTATATGTGAAAAAATATCCGATTAAGCCAACATAAGTTATTTGAGACCCTGTAAGCCACTGCAGTAAGCCAACGTATGATTTCAGCAACCAGTTTCTATGAGCACCAGCAGAATGTTAAATATTCATTGAATATAATGAAGATAGTTGTTCAAATAACTTTACGAATTAACGTAGGTAAGTTAGGGATTGAGATGAGTTGAACGATCGTAGGTAGGCTAGGGCTAAACATTAGTTAATAAGTTTCTAACAAAAAAAAAACTAAAAAAAACTAAATTATACAAAAAAGGCAAATTAAAAACGTTAAATATGTAAAATAAAATTCCTGAAACATGTGAAATTCCTAAAACTTAGAAATACAAATTTGTAGGTGGGTGAGATGAGTTAATCATTACAGGTAAGCTAGGGCCCTGTTAATTGTAGGTACAATCATCACTATATAATAATAATAATAAATATATTATAATAAATAATTTTTTATCGGTCGATATTTCGTTATATTTGTTTGTTTAAAATCCGAACTTTTTGAAAAATCAATTAAAATGACTAAAGTTGAAACAACCACCACCACCATTTTTTACAGAGAAAACGAAAAAAAATCAGCGTTTTTGTCGGCGAATAACATGTTTTCACATTACCAAAATATGCTGACTCATTTTGTTTCTAAACACGCCACAACAGAAATTGTTTCAAATTAATACTTTATAAGCCTGCACCCTCGTGGTCGCACGGAACGATTAGCCAATCTAGCTGTTAGCCGATTTCTGAAATCCATCTGGTATCTTAATTTAAGTAAGGAAACATTCAATGAGATTATCATGTTTGATATCATATCGATTGCTATCATGGGTTTATGATATCATACGTACATCTAGCAAACTATACGTACATCATATACAAATAAACGCCAATAACTTGAAATTGTGTATCTCTGTGTGTGTGTGTGTGTGTGTAGCGTGTATAATCTTGCCTTTTAGTTTTAAAAACTCATTTAGTGCACACGTACACACGCCCACGCATTGTGTAAATAAATGTATATATATATATATATATATATATAATTATATACAAATATTTATAATGTCGCGTGTCTGATTTTAATATTTTTGATCACTCCTCTTACCATCCAAGTAAACATTTTTATTTTCTTATTTATCGATTTAGTTTTTTTTAAATGTCTATATAGATGTACGTACGTAGGTGTGTATGTAAATGTCGTGCAGTTTTCTACAATGTTAGCAGCAATGTCATTTTTGAAGTTTTATTTTACTCCATTTCATTTCATTTTCTAAATTTTATTCCCCCGGTTGTCTGTTACAAGATAATGCTATCTCTTTCATCTTGATTTGATGAATTAAAAAAAGTAACATACTTAGGGGGCTGGGGCCATGTGTCGTTTTTGTTTTGATTTATGAAAAATTTTTAAGTAAAAATTTTTAGATAAGGAATAATAAAGAAAACCAAGTGAGTGTCCAATTTCATGAACAGCAAACATCTTCAAAATTAACTCCTCTGTCTTCTCCATCGATCCATCCCATTTCCGCATTGGACCCATTTACATTTGATCTCAGATAATTTTGTTAAATTATTGAAATAAAATATCATAACTGATGAGTTATTTGGACAGATGGGGGTTAGGACGGATAATTCCTTCTTTCTTATCAATAATATTATTTTGTGTCATCACCAAATTTTCATAATCGTGTTCATATAGATGTATCAACGAAAAGAAATCTTCTGCCTTTCCAACTTCAATAAAGTTCTAACACAGGGGTACAAACATGACAAAAGCGATCGAGAAAGCGTAAACGAGGTATAATATTTAAGATACATTGATGCACGTTTTGAACCCGATGTATTTCAAGTTTAAGAGAGCTAATTGTTTTGAAAATGACACACTGCAAGTATTGATGGCACAGCAACAGCAGGTGTAACAAAACTGTCGAAAATTGTCACTTCGACTCTGGAGATTGAAGGAATCGGCACAACTTTCAGATATTATCAAATACGGTATTCAGTCATTCAGTTATGTTTTACTGACCATCAAACAAAAACTGAATTTTAACTAAACTTAATAACTATAAACACATTTTAATATGCTCAATAAAATGTTGGATTGAAAATCGGCATAATATAATGAAGGCTTGATTGAGCATGGCCTAGATCGAATGTGAGTAGAAAGCTTAATCGAGATTTTGAGTATTTGGGAATGGGACGAAATGTGAATGGGATTAATTCAAAAGACACCAAAATCGGATACTAACTTAACGACAGTAAGAATAACCAGAAATAGCGGAATGCAGAAGAAAAAAATATAAAATGGCAAGAAAGAACAATAAAAAGAAAGAGAAAATGGAGAAGAGAGGGAAGAACAGAACGTTAAAAGAGTGAGAGAAAGAGAGAGAGAGAGAGAGAGAGAGAGAAAGAGAGAGACAGATATATATATATATATATATATAACATAAATCAATTACTTCATACGAACGCATTATTTGAAAAATAAACATTAATTATTATTACCAGAAATAATAATAATAATAATTTTAATTATTAATTTCATTACTTTATTAATAAGTTAAAAAGTTATCGATAAAATTTGAAGTACAATTCAAAACAAGATGCAAGAGAGAACTATTTTCCTAAGGCTTTTTATATAGCAGGGCTATCAATCAATCAATCAATCAATCAATCAATCAATCAATCAATCAATCAATCAATCAATCAATCAATCAATCAATCAATCAATCAATCAATCAATCAATCAATCAATCAATCAATCAATCAATCAATCAATCAATCAATTATTCAATCAATCAATCAATCAATCAATCAACCAACCAACCAACCAATCAATCAATCAATCAATCAATCATCCATCCATCTATTCATTCATTAATTCATTAATTCATCAATCGATCCATCAATCAATCTATCAATCATTCAACCAAACATCAAACGATATTTCAATCAGCCGATAAATCATTCCTAAATCAACCGACCAACCAACTAAACTCAACAACATTCATCACAACCACTGCTTTTACCACCACTACCACTGCTACTGC